CTAATCCTAACTTTAACCCCCAATCCTATTTCTAACCCTAACAACCCTAACCCTAAAACCCTAATCCATACCCTAACCAGTGCCCTAAACCCTAATTCCTAAACTATAAACCTTAACACTAACCCTTAAACCTAATCCCTAACCTCAACCTTACTCCAATTACCCTTAACTCTAAATCTAAACTAAGCTTAACCCTCAATCGTGAACCCTTGTTACTTTTACCCAATCTAATCCTTACCTTAAGCTAAACCTACTCTAACGTGTATATAACCCCAATCCAAAATCTCACTAAAACTTTTACCCTAACCCTTCACTGTAATTCTGACCTGTCAACCTAACCTGATTGGTCAGCCTAATCTCTCCCTCTAATCTCTACTATGGAACTCTCAACCACCAACCTGAACCTCCTATCTTGGGGCCCTTCTACCATAATCTTTAACTGTAAACTTTTAGCCTGTAAAGCCCTATGTCCTAATTGTGTAATACCCTTACACACTAACTCTGTAAATACCGCAATCTATAATGAGTATGAAAAAAAGGGATCTCTGCCTTATTTGTGTAATAAAATACCAAAGCAGTATTTAATGCTCCAAGGAAAACAAATTATGCCTGAAATACAGTTGACAATGTCAGAATCAAAATAAGCTTCCTGGCCAGGCATGGGGGCTCACGCCTGTAATCCCAGCACTCTGGGGTGCCAAGGAAGGTGGATCACCTGAGGTGGGGAGTTCAAGACCAGCCTGACAAACATGGAGAAACCCCGTCTCTACTAAAAATTCAAAACTTACCCAGGTGTGGTGGTGCATGCCTGTAATCTCAGCTACTCAGGAGGCTGAGGCAGACAATCACTTGACCCTGGGAGGCGGAGGTTGTGGTGGGCCCAGATCCCGCCATTCCTCTGCCCTATTGTATATATAAAAATGCAGATTCACTGAACCAGACTAAATTGTACTCAGTGGAAAGCTGATGAAGATTTCAAAATAATACAATCTTTTTTACAATCTACTTCTGACCTAGAAGCACCCCCACTTCCTACTTCTAGTTGTTCCACTTTACTGGACCAAATGACTGTACATCTTACACATATTGATTGGTGTCTCCTGTCTCTCAAATGTACAAAAGCAAGCTCTACCCTGACCACCTTGGGCCCACATTGTGAGGACCTCCCCAGGCTGTGTCATGGACATATCCTTAACCTTGGCAAAATAATCTTTCTACACTGACTGAGACATGATTCAGATACTTTTGGATCAGAATCAGCAATTACCATGGTGTGACAGTTGACAACAGCATTCAGAATGTGGGTAACCCCCCATATAGGCACTGAAGAATGAGAGCTAAGCAGAACCCTGGCACAGTTAGGGCTTGAGGAATATCTCACTTTATAGTGTTACTACTCAGTTATTTCCTTTTATATAATCTTTTACATAATCATATATTAGTTTATAGAAGTAGGGCTTGAAGAATCCCTTTATATAATCCTCTATATATAATGACATAATAGTTGATAGTAAGAGTGCCTCAAGAATATTTCCCTACATATATACCTATAATTATATCTTAGTTCATAATCGGAGGAATGCCTAGAGTGGACACAGTACGGAGCATGAATTAAGGAATAAGCAGCTTATAATCGGAGGAATTCCTAGAGCAGACACAGTGCAGAGCATGATTTAAGGGAAAGACAGTTATACCAGGACAAGAATCCATGGCCCAGGCGGCAGCGTTCAGTATCGTAAAGATACCCGCTGCATGGCAGGATTGGGGCGAGAGCCACTCCTCCTGATAAAGGAGTTGTAGGACCTTGCTCCAGTTCTTATGGAAGGCTGCCCTCAGAACAGCAATCCACCTTGGTGACTGTGAACTTTATCAGCTCTTGCTACCTGTGCTGCTTGAAAAGCATCTTCCCATAGAACCCACTGGAAGCTGCCAGAAGGTGGCAGTCACCTTGACAACTCTGTCACTGCTATGTGCTTAAAGCATCCACCTATAAATCTTCTTAGAAGTAGCCTGCCCATAGATAGAAGTATTGCACACTGCACCCTCTTCACTGCGCACGGCCCACCTTCAAGCCTCGGTGACCTAATGGGGGTGGACCCTACTGCATACGGCTCTTGCCTTCATGGGAACGGACCCCTTGCTGTGCACTGTCCACCTCCTGGCCTAGGTGACCTAACGGGGGTGGACGCCATGTTTTATTGCTCACGACCCTATCACTATCCTTAAAGATGGTTTCACTCACTGCCCTGCCCACTAACCTATACACAATAAATACGCTTCTGAACTCCGGTGCCTCGCCTGACTCTGCTTACAGGTGCCGTGGCCCTCTTAGCCCAGCTGCGTTTTCCTTGTACTTCTGTGTCCTGTCTCTTTATTTCTCAGATCCTGCGCCTCAGCACAGCATAAGGCTCATCCCATGACCCTGTGGGGCCCTCAGCCCTACATCTGGCTCCCAATGTGCCCTACACAGTACACAGACATGCTATGCAGGTTTGCAGCCTGGGAGCAATAGGGTATACCATATCACTTATGTGTGGAGTGGGCTCCACCATCTAGGTTTTATAAGGACACTCTATGGTGTTTGTACAAAGATGAAACCACTAAGTACAAATTTCTCAGAAAGTATCCACATCGTTAGGAGATGCTTGAGTATATTTAAAAAACAAAAACAAACAAACAAAAAAAACTCCTGTTATTGTTTAATAACAAAGCTTAATAGAGTTAACGTATTTCATCTAATCTAAGATGCTAATGATTAACAGACATTATTTCATGCACCACCACAAACAGGTTGCCAATTAAACTGACTTTCTGAATAACAAAAATGTGAATTGACTTCTATTAATGTCAGGAAAGTAAAAGATGAATTATGGTTTTGACATGTTAAAGCAAAAAAGGAGGGGGCCGTGAGCACGAGGTCTTGCCTAAACAAACAGAAACCGAACTCAGAGGCATTAAAACTGACTTAAAATATTATCAACCAACCAGAGTCAATGACAAAAAGCCCAGCCACCCATCTGCTGTGACTACGGATGCTGAGGGAATCATCCCCACAACAGGCGGTCATCTAGATGGAGTCGATGAGAAACTTCACTTTGCTGCCACCACTAAGAACTGGAAGCCCCAAACCCTGTTTTCCTTTCTGGTGCTTCACGCATGATTCAAGAATCATTCCTTTGCTCAAATAAACTGTTTAAATTTATTTTGCCTAAAATTATTCTAATCCCTAAACCCTAAACCCTAACCCCTAGCCCTAATCCTCATCCTAAACCCTAACCATACGTTAGTTTCTACGTTTGCGCTGATATGTCAGTGTTGATTATTAAGAGTGCTATATTGGCAGGGCCGCATAGGTAGTGCAGATTTTACATTAACACTTTTGTACTGAGGCTTTCCATTAGCATTATAAACAACACTCTGCAGGTGTTGTATTCGTACTTCGGATGTGTTATCTGCCTTAGGAACGCTCTATTTGTGTTCTGCCGCTGCACTGTGGACATTGCATTGCAGACTTCTGGCCTTGGGTGAGGGGAACCTCTGCGAGCAGGATTCAGAGGGATTTCTGGTGCCCAGTTTTCCACACGGAGACCTTCTTACTAGTCTCTGAGCCCCAGCAGTCATGGCTGGAAACAGGAAGGATTTTACTCAACATGGACGCTGTCCGAAGTTGTCCAAAAGCGCGGCGGAGCCCCCAGGGTCTGTGCTGAGAACGCTGCTCTGCCTTTGCGGTGCCCGCGGGTCTGCGCTGAAGAGAACGCAGCTCCACCCTCGCAGTGCCCACAAGGCCTGTACTAAGGAGAACACAACTCCGCAAACCCCCAAACCGCCCTGACGCAGCGCCTGGCGCCAAGACTGAAGCGGTGCACGCCTACACACGCCAGCGCACCTGTGGCCAGCCTCGTGACGCACGAGCACCTGATGATGCGCGCCACCACCGCAGTGCAGCGGGGCAGGCGCGACTGATGCGTGCCGGTGCTGTGCGGCGTGACGGGATACAGCCAGAAGGCGACGCGTGGCACCACGATGCCGACGCGGTGATCCAAGGCAGAGCCTCCGGAATCTGAACAGGCAGGCTGGGGCCGCAGGGCAACCGGGCACTGCAGGGCCCTCTTGCTCACGGTGCTGTGCCCACACCCCGATGGCAGCCACAGACCGCAGGATGCTCTTTAACCAGGGTTGCAGTGACCAGCATCCCCTGCTGGCAGCCAGGGCACCGCAGGGCCCTTCTGCTCACAGTGTGGTGGCAGCACACCCTCTGCCCACAACCAAGGCAATGCAGTGTCCTCTTGCAGTGTAGTGGTGGTACGCCCCGTCGGCCGCTGGGGGCCCTGCAAGGCCCTCTTGTTCACAGTGTCTTGGCAGCACCCCCATGCTGGCAACCAGAAAGAGCACTGCAGGGTACTCTTGCTCATGGTGTGGTCCCTGTGTGCCTCCTGCTGGCAACTAGGGACGCTGCAGGGCCCTTTTGCTAACAGTGTAGTTAATCAAATCAACAGATGCTAATTTTTTTTTTTAAATAGTCAACGCCCAGGACAGAGGACTGATTTTAATTTGATAGTATAATTTTAAAGTTTGATATACTTCATATATTTCATCAAATGTAAAATTTCAATGCTTATAAAACATTATTGCCAGACACAGTGGCTCATGCCCATAATCCCAGAACTTTAGGAGGACAAGGTGGGTAGATCACGACATCAGGAGTTCGAGACCAGCCTGACCACCATGGTGAAACCCCCATCTCTACTAAAAATATAAAAATTAGCTGGGCATGGTGGCTCACGCCTGTAATCCCAGCTACTGAGGAGGCAGAGGGAGGACAATCCTTTCAACCGGGGAGGTATGGGTTGCAGTTAGCTGAGATTGGCTACTGCACTCCAGCCAGGGCAACAGAGCAAGACTCCATCTAAAAAAGAAAAAAAAAAGACAACCCACAGAAGGGAAGAAAAAATTTCCACATTACATATCTAACAGTCTGTTAAGCACAAAGTATAATTTGGATAACTCAACAACAGCAAAATTACAAAATAGACAAATGGTTGAGCACACACTTCACCAATAAGACATGCAAATGGAAAATAAGCACATAAAAAGATGATCAATACCATTATCGTTATGGCCGTGTAAACTGAAACCACAATGACATACTCCTTCACACACACTAGAAAGGCTAAGATCCAAGAAATGTAAAAGGACAAGTGTTGGCAAGGTCGGAGGGAAATTACAACCCTTAAATACTTTATGTGAAATATAAGATGATACAACCTATTTTTAACATAGTTTGGTATCTCCTCAAAAGTTAAAAATAGGCCAGGCATGGCAGCTAATGCCTATAATCCCAGCACACTGGGAAATCGAAACAGGTGGATCACTTGAGTCCAGAAGCTCAACACCAGCCAGGATGACATGGCAAAACTGCATCTCTCCTAGAAATACAAGATTTAGCCGGGTATGGTGGCACACACCTGTAGTCCCAGCTACTTGGGAGGCTGAGGCAGGAGGATTGCTTCAGCCCAGAATGTGGACATTGCAGTAAGGCAAGATTGCAACACTGCACTCCAGCCTGGGCGACAGCACAACAACCCCTCTCAAAAAACAAAGGCTGAGCATGGTGGCTAACACCTGTAATCCCAGCATTTTGGGAGGCCGAGGCAGATGGATCACTGAGGTCAGGAGTTCCAGACCAACTTAGCCAATATGGTGAAATCCCATCTCTACAAAAAATACAAAAATTACCCAGGCATGGTGGAACACACCTGTAATCTCAGCTACTTGGGAGGCTGAGACAGGAGAATTGCTTGAACCCAGCAGGCAGAGGTCACAGTCAGCCAATATTAGGCCACTGTACTCTAGCCTGGCCAAATTATACAATGTATAATTTGGATAACTCCACAACAAAAACCACAAAATTTCAAAATGGAGAAACAGTGGAACACACACTTCGCCAATGAAACATACAAATGGAAAACAAGCACATAAAAAGATGATCAATACCATTATCATTATGGCCATCTAAACTGAAATCACGATGACATACTCCTTCACACACACTAGAAAGGCTATGATTTAAGAAATGTAAAATAACAAGTGTTGGCAAGGTCAGAGAGAAATCACCACCCTTAAATACTGTATGTGGAACATAAAATGGTGCAGCCTACTTTTAACATAGTTTGGTATTCCCTCAAAAAGTTGAATAGGCTGGGCATGCTAGCTAACACCTGGCACATTTCACAGACCAAGACAGGTGGATCATGAGGTCAGGAATTTGAGACCAACCTTGCCAACACAGTGAAACCCCATCTCCACTAAAAATACAAAAATTAGCTGGGTGTGGTGGCCAGTGCCTGTAGTCCCAGCTACTCAGGAGACTGAGGCACGAAAATCACTTGAAACTGGGAGGTGGAGGCTATGATGAGCAGACATCATGCATTGCACTCCAGCCTGAGCAACACAGGGATACTCCATCTCCAAAAAAAAGAAAAGAAAAATTGAGGGTCATCTCACAGATGATCTAATAAATAATGGATTATTTCCCTGACTTTAGAAAAATCACATTATTAACTTTTCTACTTTTAGATAACGTAACTGCTATAACTTTAAGAACTTATCCAGACAAGGCCTTAAAAACCTAAGGTGGTCACCGGGTGAATGGGCTGGGAGAACACACATAAAATCCCTGCCGAGACACCCAGGAGCCCATGTCCCCGTAAGTGGGACTGCAGGCAGGTGTAGTAGACTGGATGGGAGAGGGCAGCAGGCAGGAGCACTCTGGGTCTGGAGGCCATGGTTCTAAGGCCATTGGGAAACCATTGGCAAAGTTAAATCCAGAGCTTGACAGGATGAAACCTGTGATTGTATAAATATTTTGCCATTACCAAGTGAGATCGCCAGTGGTGTTGGGACGGATGGAAGCTCCTCCAGCTGGACAGCACTGAGGAGAGCACGGCACCAGGCCAGGGTGTTCCTATCGGGAATGCAGGGTCTACGCCTGTTCAGAAGGAAACGCTGGGCAGACCCGGCATGGAGTCATCTCTGCTCTTTACATGTGTCAAGGCTGTGAAAACTGAGAGTCAGCTAGGCATGGTGGCTCATACCTGTAATCCCAGCACTCTGGGAGGCTGAGGTGGGTGGATCACCTGAGGTCAGGAGTTTGAGGCCAACCTAGCCAACATGGTGAAATCCTGTCTCTACTAAAAATACAAAAAATTAGCCAGGCGTGGTGGTGGATGCATGTAATTCCAGCTACTCGGAGGCTGAGGCAGGAGACTCTCTTGAACCTGGGAGGCAGGGGCTGCAGTGGGCAGACATTGCACTATTGCACTCCAGCCTGCGCAAAAAAAGCGAAACTCCATCTCCAAAAAAAGAAAACTGAAAGTGTCCGGAACAATTCCCAAAAAGGAAAATTGGGCCCACATGGAAAGAGACATTTTTTAGCCAAGTGGGGCAGGCTGTGAAGTAGGTCTGTGGACTGGACTTTCACATATAAATCATGTATTTTCGGCTGGGCACAGTGGCTCACTCCTGTAATCCCAGCACTTTGGGAGGCCGACGCAGGAGGATCACGAGGTCAAGAAAGCAAGTCCATTCTGGCCAACATGGTGAAACCCCGTCTCTACCAAAAATACTAAAAATTAGCCGGGTGTGGTGGCACATGCCTGTAATCCCACTACTGGGGAGGCTGAGGCTGGAGAATTGCTTGAGCCTGGGAGGTGGAGGCTGCGGTGAGCTGAGATGACACGACTACACTTCAGCCTGGAAACAGAGCAACACTATGTCTCCAAAAAAAAAGAAAAAGAAACCATGTATTTCCTGATTTGGGGATTATGTGGGGGTCACCTGGAGGAGTGTTTCTGCTTTTGGTGAAACACACAGGGGTATTTTATGTGAAGCTGCAAATCTGGTACAGCAATTCTGCTAGGGAATCGGAGAGGAAAGAAAGGCATACTAACTGCAGCTGCTAGCTTCCCAGAAGTATGATGTTACTGGGAAGTCAACTACTTTTTAACACAACCCTGTCAACAGTATGTCAGAAAAGCAGAAACAACAACATCACACTTCATAACAGAGGCCAAATCCAGCCCAAACCCAGGCCAGCACAGGCTGTGAAACCAGTGCCCCCAGAGACAGCCAGAGGGTCCCATCCTCGGTGCTGCAGACGCTCCAAAGACCATGTTCGCATCCCAAGTGACATGTGTGTTCTAAGGGACACGAGTGTTCTGGGGGTTATATGCATGTGATGGTTGTTGTGTTAGTCTGACAGTGTTATGGGTGTTCTGGGTGATATGTGTACCCTGAGGGACACATGCGTGTTCTGGGGGTTATATGAGTGTGACGGGTGTTGGGATAGTCGGTGTCACTTCTGTGTTCCAGGTGATATGTGTGCACTCTGAGCCTGATGTTGTCACGGGCTTTCTGGGTGATATGCATGTGCTCTAAGGGACACATGCATGTTCCGGGGGTTAATATGAGTGTCACGGGTGCTGTGTTAGTCTGTGTCACAGGCATTCTGGGTGATACGTGCACACTCACAGGCGTTCCAGGCGTTCTGTGCACTTTGAGAGATACATCCACATTCCTGGGATCAGACCTGCCTGGCAGCTGCCACCTTCCCATACGGATGTGGCGTCTGTATAACGGATGCTAACAGCAGCACCACAGATGGAACGTTATTGGTATTATAGGGGGCTATTATCAGTGTGGCGGGTGTTCTATTTGCTCTCCTGATGTGCATTTCTGCTCAGAGCCTGCAGCATGGCCCCGTGGCTGCCTCGCCTTGGGTGCAGAGAAAGAACCTCTGCTGTGCTGGATTCACTGGGGTTTTTGGTTTCCAATTTTCCACACGAAGGATCTCTGCCCCTCAGCAGTCAGGGAGGCAAAAAGGAAACATTTTACTCACCATGGATGCGGGCTCAAGGTGTCCCAAAGTGCGGGGTGTCCCCAGGTCTGTGCTTAGGAGAACCCCACTCCTGCCCTCACAGGGGCCTACACAGAGGAAATGGGTGGGAAGCTGTGGCCTCAGGATGAGAAAAACTGGGCTCACGTGCCCTCTGCTGGCGGCACTCATGCTCAAGACACAGGCAGTGGACACGCGCCCTCTGGTGGCCGTCCCGCTGCACCACGTAAAGTCAGGATGAAGTGTTGAGCGCCATCATTCTCGAAATGCAAACTGACACAGTGCCTCCAAGCCCATGTGCTTCTAAAAATGAAGAAGGGACAATTAATTGGAAACCACAGGAAATGTAATGAACATGGATGCACATTTTACAACTTATGCAAAAATTCACTCAACATAGTTTTCAGACAACTTTAATCTAACCTACCTCACTAACCCTTTCACCCTAACCCTTCACCGTAAGCCTGACCTCTCAACCTAACCCCGTTACTCATCTGATCCCTCCCACTAATCTCTACTATGCAGTTCCCAACCATCAACCAGAACCTCCTGTCTTGCAGCTCTTATACTATAATCTTCAATTGGTAAACTCCTAACCCTTAAACCCCTATCTCCTGATTTTGTAAAACCCTGACACACTAACTCTGTAAATACTAACCGTAGTCAATTCACAATCCCATCCTTATCCATCCTACTTAGTGCCATGCCACTTCAAGGACTGATCTATAACCTCAGGAATGAAGACTTAAGAATCTTCAACATAATAGAAAATTTAAACCAACAGCATTTTGAAAGCATCAAACACCATGAACATGATTTTTTATCCAAGTAAATCAACGTTGGCCCACCTACTTTTGTATTTTCAGTAGAGATAGCTTTTTGCTATGTTGGCCAGACTGGTCTCAAGCTCCTGATCTCAGGTAATCTACCTGCCTCAGCCTCCCAAAATGCTGGAATTACAGGCGTGAGCCACTGCACCTGGCCAAAGAATCTATTTTATATGTATATACTAGCAATGGATAACCTGAAAACAAAATCATAAAAATTCTACTTTAAATAACACCAATAGCAATAGCACGCTTAAGGATAAACGTAATCAAAGGATAAGACTTAGATGGGGGAAATTAGAAAACATTGCTTAGAAAATTAAACATAGCCCAAATAAATGTAGTAAACATGTCATGTTCATGGATTTGAAGACCATATCTGTTAGGTTTGCCAAACTACACAAAGCAATCTACAGATTCAATATTATTCCTACAAAAATCCCAAAGGCCTTGGGACAGAAATGGGAAAGCTGATCCTAATGTTCATATGGAATTTCAAGGAACCATGAAAAGCCACACCCATCCTGAAAAATAACTCCAAATCTGGAGGTTTGCACATCCCAGTTTCAAATCTTGTTACAAGCAATTGTAATCAAAACAGCGTGACACTGGCACAAGGATAAACAGAAAGATCAACTGAACTGAATTGGGAGTCCAGACATAAAACAATACCTCCATGCTCAACTGATTTGAGACAAGGTCCATAACCATTAAATTGTGGAAAAAAATGCTGTCCTCAATAAGTGACATAAAGCAACTTGCAATCCACATAAAGGGACATGAAATTGTATCCTTACCTCATATCACATTAAAAAGTTAAAATGGATCAAAGATCTAAATATGGCAAAACTAAAATCATTAGAAGAAAACATACAGTTAAATCTTTAAGACCTTGGATATAGCAATAGTTTCTTACATTTGACACCAAAAACTACAAATCACAAAAGGAAAAATAAATCGATTTCCTCAAATTTCAAAACTTATATGCCTCAGAAGACATGAAGAAAAAAGTTCAATGACAGAATTGTTATAATAGGAAAAACAACTGTCTACTAGTAGACTCTCAACACCCAACACAGAACACTCCTGTTAACAGATGCATGGGTTTTTTTCCCCAGACAGAGCAAATCTTGAATACCAGCTGGGTGTCCTACAGTGCAATCCAATTCTGATACTAACAGGAGAAAGCATCAGAGCCCACAGGCTAAGGGCTCGGTCCTAGGAAGGCAAGTCATGCCGCTTGTTGCTTGCAAATTCAATTGACAAAGACAAGGATGGTAAAAATAATGGGACTTTATGCCACAGCTTAGCTGAAGGGACCATATAGACTCTTGCCTTAAGGAAACTGCTTCCACTTTCGGGGCAGAAAGTGGGAGGCTTTAAAAAAAAGGACTTGGCAGAATGGTATGTAGGGGATGGGGTGAGGAGGTGCAGAGTCTACGGGACTTGCTCTGATGTTTTATCCATTAGGTGGTCTTACTAGTACCACCATGGGCAGAGCTAGGTTGTAAATTGTCTGTAGTCTCCTGGCAATCTCCTGATAGCGGAGAGTTCCAGAGGTGCCTAGTTTGTAAAGTTTGGTCCCTGGAACTTCTAAGTAAACACACAGTTAGAAAAGTTTGCAGCATAGGAAGTATCTCATGGAGACAGTAAAGCTTATAATTGCATTCCTAAAGAGCTAAGTAGGAAGCGCAGGAAAAGGAAAACGGTAAAAGTAATTCATTCCTTCCTTAAGAAAATACAGGTAATCAGTTTTAACAATCACAAATAGTAGGTTCCCAGGCTATCTTCTGTCTGACTTGGCTACAGATTAGAGGCTCCCGCAACAGGCTTATTGCGTTCAGCAATTTACTACGGCATATTACAGAACCCATGAAAACAGTGTACTTAGTATTGCTGACTTAATGCCAAGGATATTGGCTACAAATGAACAGTCAGATAAACAGATGGACAACATGAAGCACGTGGAGAGGGTGCAGCCCTCCCATGCCCTCTCCAGATATGATCCTCCCAGCATCTCCCCATGTTCAGCAACACAGACGCTTACACTCTCCCAACCTGGTCCTTTATTACATAGGCAGATTGCTTACATGAGTGGCCATAGGTGATCAATTCAACCATCAGCACCTCTCACCTTCACAGAGATGGGAGGGGAGATGAAATTTCAAGTCCTCTAACAACAAGGTTTGTGCCCTTGGCAGCCAGCCCCACTGAGGCTGTCCAGGCACCCCCAGCCATCAGTCATCTCATTAGCACATGAAAGACACATCATTTGATACATTCCAAAGGCTTAGAGCTCTGTCTCAGGACCCCGCAACAGATACCACACATGAACTCTTGTTATTTTCCAGTAACCCACAAAATGGAAGAAAAAAACTGCACATGAGATATTTTATAAGTATCTGTTACCCAGAATCTATAAATAACTTTTACAACTCAACAACAAAGACAACCCTACCTAAAAATTGACTAAGGACTTTAACACACATTGCACCAAGAAGCAAGATGCTTAACATCATTAGTAATAATTAAAACCATAAAGAGATACCCCTTGGATACGATCCAAGATGGCTGTTTAGGAACAGCTCAGGATTGCAGCTCCCAGTGAAAGCGCAGAGGGTGAGAGGACGCCGCATTTTTATTGCCCACAGACTAGGCAATTCCCAAGTGGAGGAGCTCCACGGGTTGCCAGCACGGCTGTTTCGGCCAGTGTCGCTGTGCTGGCCGGCGCCGCTGCTTTGCTCTGCGCGGCTGCTTTGTCGGCGCCCCGGAGCAGTGGTTCTCTGTACAAAATACACTGGTACGGGTGCCCTTTTGGCTGGCGATTTGAGCAGCGGGAAGTCGCCCATTCATCTGTTTAAAAAGGGGACTGAGCAGGGAACCAGGACAGTAGATTCCAGGGCAAAAAAAGCGCCACAAATCTCAGTGCCGCTGTTTAAGCCAGCACAGTGAGTTGCCGCACCCGGCGCCTCTTCAACAGGAGACTGGAACACAAACTTTAAAAAAAAAAAAAAAAAAAAAAAGGGCTGTGAGGCAGGGAGCCAGGCGATCAGGCTCGGCTGGTAACACCCCCACAAAAGAACAGCAATCAGAAACTCTCTGGATTGAGACTTTCACAGCAAGCACAGCTGAACCCGGGACAGTTCAGCTCTGTGGGGGAGCGGCATCCACCATTACCGAGGCAGCCCGCCACTACGGATGTAGTCAGCCAATGCTGAGGCAGCCCACCGTTGCCAAGGCAACCCACCACTGCAGTGAGGCTCTACCTTAACAGAGGCGGGCCACCATTGCCGAGGCAGTTCTAACTACACCCATATAAACAGGACTGCAGGGAAGTTCACTGGGCAGCTGGGCAGAGCCCACAGCAGCTCAGCAAAGCCTCTACAGGCAGACAGTGACTAGGCTGCCTCCTTGCTGGGCAGGGCAGCTCTGAAGGAAAAAAAAAAAGGCAGCAGCAGCATAACGGAAACTCATAAAGCCCTAAAACCCTGGGACAGAGCACCTGGGAACAAAAAGTGGTTTATGAGTTCTGCTGCAGCAGACCTAAACGTACCTGCCCAGCAGCTCTGAATGAACAATGGAGCCCACAGCTCAGATTTTGAGCTCCTATAGAGAAGAGACCATCTCCTCAAGCAGCTCCCTGACCCCTGTATATCCAAAGAGTCACCTCATAAAGGAGAGATCAGATTGACACTTGGCGGGTATCCTTCTGGGACAAAGATAGCAGAAGAAGAAAACTGGTAACAACCCTTACTGTTCAGCAGCTGCTGCAGGTGAACCCCAGGCAAGCAGGCCCTGGAGTGGACCTCAGCAGACCTACAGCAGAGGGGCCAGACTGTCAGAAGGAAAACAAAGAAACAGAAATAATCTCATCATAAAAAAACAGAACGTCCACCCAGAGAACTCTCCACCCCAAATCCACAGAATATACATTCTTCTCAGCACCACATCACACTCTAAAATTGACCACATAATTAGGAGCAAATCACTCCTCAGCAAATGCAAAAGAACGGAAATCATAACAAACAGTCTCTCAGACCACAGTGCAACCAAGTTAGAACTCAGAATTCAAAAACTAGCCCAGATCCGCACAGCTTCATGGAAACTGAACAACTTGCTCTCGAATGTTGACGGGATAAACAATGAAATGAAGACAGAAATAAAGATGTTCTTCAAAACCAACGGGAACGAAGACACAACTTACCAGAATCTCTGTGACACATTTAAAGCAGTCTCTAGAGGAAAATATATAGCAATAAGTGCCTACATGAGAAGCAAGGAGAGATCAAAAATTGACACACTAACGTCAAAACTGAAAGAGCTAGAGGAGGAAGATCAAAAAAACTCAAAGTCTAGCAGAAGACAAGAAATAGCTAAGATCAGAGCAGAACTGAAGGAGATGGAGACACAGAAAACCCTTCAAAAAATCAATACATCCAGGAGCTGGTTTTTTGAAAAGATCAACAAAATAGACAGACCACTAGCCAGATTAATAAAAAAGAAAAGAGAGAATAACCAAATTGATGCAATAAAAAACGATAAAGGGGATATCACCACAGATTCCACAGAAATTCAAACCATCATCAGAGATTATTACAAACAACTCTATGCACATAAACTAGTAAACCTGGAAGAAATGGATAAATTCCTGGACACTTGCCTCCTCCCAAGCCTAAACCAGGAAGAAGCCGAAACCCTGAACAGACCCATAACAAGGTCTGAAGTTGAGGCAGCAATTAAGAGCTTACCACCCAAAAAAAGCCCAGGTCCAGACGGGTTCACAGCCGAATTCTACCAGACATACAAAGAGGAGCTGGTACCATTCCTTCTGAAACTATTCCAAACAATACAAAAAGAGGGAATTCTTCCCAAACATTTTATGAGACCAACATCATCCTGATTCCAAAAATCGGCAGAGACTCAACAAGAAAAGAAAACTTCAGGCCAATATCCATGATGAACATAGATGCAAAAATCTTCAATAAAATACTGACAAGCCGATTGCAACAGCACATCAAAAAGCTTACCCAACATGATCGAGTAGGCTTCATTCCGGGGATGCAAGGCTGGTTCAATATACGCAAGTCTATAAACGTAATTCATCATAAAAACAGAACCAAAGACAAAACCACATGATTATCTCAATTGATGCAGAGAAGGCCTTTGACAAAATTCAACAGCCCTTTATGCTAAAAACCCTCAATAAGCTAGGTATTGACGAAACGTACCTCAAAATAATAAAAGCTATTTACGACAAACCAACAGCCAATATCATACTGAATGGGCAAAAACTGGATGCATTCCCCTTGAAATGTGGCACCAGACAAGGATGCCCTCTCTCACCACTCCTATTCAATATAATACTAGAAGTTCTAGCCAGAGCAATCAGGCAAGAAAAACAAATAAAGGGCATTCAAATAGGAAAGGAGGGAGTCAAATTGTCTCTAATGCAGATGACATGATTGTATATCTAGAAGACCCCATTGTCTCAGCCCAAAATCTCCTGAAACTGATCAGCAAGTTCAGCAAAGTCTCAGGATACAAAATCAATGTGCAAAAATCACAAGCATCCCTATACACCAATAACAGACTTAAAGAGAGCCAAATCAAGAACAAACTTCCATTCACAACTGCCACAAAGAAAATAAAATACCTAGAATACAACTAACAAGGAAGGTAAACGGCCTCTTCAAGGAGAACTACAAGCCACTGCTCAACGAAATAAGAGAGGACACAAACAGATGGAGAAACATTCCATGTTCATGGTTAGGAAGAATCAATATCGTGAAAATGGCCATACTGCCCAAAGTAATTTACAGATTCAATGCTATCCCCATCAAGCTACCAATGAACTTCTTCACAGAACTGGAAAAAACCACCTTAAACTTCATATGGAACCAAAACAGAGCCGGCATAGCCAAGTCAATTCTAAGCAAAAAGAACAAGGCGGGAGGCACCACACTACCAGACTTCAAACTATACTACAAGGCTGCAGTAATCAAAACAGCATGGTACAGGTACCAAAACAGAGATATAGACCAGTGGAACAGAACAGAGGTCTCGGACGCAACGCAACATATCTACAACCATCTGATCTTTAACAAACCTGACAAAAACAAGCAATGGGGAAAGGATTCCCTGTTCAATAAATGGTGTTGGGAAAACTGGCCAGCCGTGTGCAGAAAGCAGAAAGTGGACCCCTTCCTGACACCTTACACTAAAATTAACTCCAGATGGATTAAAGACTTAAACATAAGACCTAACACCATAAAAACCCTAGAAGAAAATCTAGGCAAAACCATTCAGGACATATGTGTAGGCAAGGACTTCATGACCAAAACACCAAAAGCATTGACAACAAAAGCCAAAATAGACAAATGGGACCTAATCAAACTCCACAGCTTCTGCACAGCAAAAGAAACAGTCATTAGAGTGAATCGGCAATCAACAGAATGGGAAAAAATTTTTGCAGTTTACTAATCTGACAAAGGGCTGATATCCAGAATTTACAAAGAACTAAAACAGATTTACAAGAAAATAACTAACAAGCCCGTTCAAAAGTGGGCAAAGGATATGAACAGATAGTTTACAAAAGAAAACATACATGAGGCCAACAAACACGAAAAAATGCTCATCACTGGTCATCAGAGAAATGCAAATCAAAACAACATTGAGATACCATCTCACGCCAGTTAGAATGGCGACCATTAAAAAATCTAGAGACAAGAGATGCTGGAGAGGATGTGGAGAAATAGGAACACTTTTATACGGTTGGTGGAAGTGTGAATTAGTTCAACCATTGTGGAAGACAGTGTGGTGATTCCTCAAGACCTAGAAATAGAAATTCCATTTGACCCAGCAATCCCATTACTGGGTATATATCCAAAGGATTACAAATCGTTCTACTATAAGGACACGTGCACACGAATGTTCATTGCAGCACTGTTTACAATAGCAAAGACTTGGAACCAACCCAAATGCCCATCGATGATAGACTAGAAAGGGAAAATGCGGCATATATACACCATGGAATATTATGCAGCCATCAAAAATGATCAGTTTTTGTCCTTTGTAGGGACATGGATGAACCTGGAAACCATCATTCTCAGCAAACTGACAGAAGAGCAGAAGATCAAACACCGCATGTTCTCACTCATAGGCGGGTGTTGAACAATGAGAACACATGGACACAGGGAGGGGAGAACTACACACTGGGGTCAGTTGGGGGGAAATAGGGTAGGAAAGGTAGAGGGTGGGGAGCTGGGGAGAGAGAGCAAGGAGAGAGATGCCAGATGTAGGTGATGGGAAGGAAGGCAGCAAATCACACTGCCATGTGTGTACCTATGCAACAATCTTGCATGTTCTTCACATGTACTCCAAAACCTAAAAATCAATCAACTAAATGGGAAAAAAAAAGAGACCCCTTAACTCACACTAGAATAGTTACACTAAAAAAAGAAGTGTTGACAAAGATGCGCAGAAACTTGAACTATCAAATACTGCTTGCAACAATACGAAATGGTGCAGCCTATGTGTAAAATAATTTGGTATTTCTTCAAAGTTACAAATAGATTTACTGTATGACTCAATGATTCCATTCCTAGGTATATACCCCAAAGACCTGAAAACAAAGGTGTTCAAACAAAAACTTGTATGCTCTTTAAATGTGTCAAGATCATAAATATGCAGGAAAGTCTTGGGAACAGTGCCAGGAAAACTGTATCATAATGAAAAAACACATTATACCCCCAGATGGGGCAGGAGGTTAAAGCGAAATGAGTTTGTGAACTGAATTATCACGTAGGAACCATGCTGATTTCCTGATCTAGGGGTTATGTGGTGGTAACCTGGGAAAGTGACCAAGCCTTGGGTAAAATATACCGGAGTATTTTCTGGGACACTGCAAATCTGATACAGCAATAACTGCTGGGGAATCTAAGAAAAAAAAATAGGTTATATTTTGTACTGCTACTGGAAATTTCCTAGAAGTATGACATTATTAAAAAGTAAATTACATTTTAAAACAGCCATATCAATATCATGCCAGAAAAGCAGAGACATCAGCAAAATCTACTATAGAGGCTACGCTTCATCAAAAACTGTGAACCCTTATAAAAGCCTCAATGTCAACAGACTCCACTTAGATATCATATTAGTATTACTGGCTACTGTGTGGATATATTAGTGTTATGGCACGGTGTGGATATTAGTGTTAGGTACAGTGTGCATATTATGTTGGTGTTGCGGAACAGTGTAGATATCACATTAGCATTAGGGCACGGTGTAGACAGTATTACATTAGTATTAGAAGCAACGGTGTGGATATCAGATTAGCATTAAAGTATAGTGTGGATATTATATTGGTGTTAGGGCATGGTATGGATATCATAGTAATGTTAGGGCACGGTGTGATTATTATATTAGAGGCCACTGTGAGAATACATGTTAGCAGCCACTGTGTCTGGGACGCTGACAATGACATCAGGGTGTAGTTGTAAGGATGGGATTTGGGGATTTCATTTTTCTAGATGAATTTCTTCCTTTGCTGAGTACTCTAAAAACTCTCTTCTCTGCACTCAGCGCCGTGGAAACGAAGCTTTTTACTCACTAATGAACAAAACTTAGTTGACAGGACCCTCAGTCGAAACTCCTCGCTGCTTCTGGCACCTCAGAGGGAAGTTGGTCAGGGGGTGGGTTCATGCGCCCTCTGGTGGCGCTGGAACTCAGCACAGATGCTTTTCCTCACAGCTTCTCAGCGGATGTGCACCCACTCCAGGCTGTCCTGAAATACCTATAAAATTCAATATTCAGTTTATTCAATGTAATAATTTTGGAAATTCAAACCAAAATGAAGCGCACTGTAGCCATATCCTTCCCAAAATGGTGATGGAAGACTTTGGAAGCCATGTAGAATGAAATGAATATATACACAAATTAAAAAACAAAAACCTACTCAAAATAGTCCAGAGACTGTACATTTGAAATGCAAAACTATAAAAAATCTAAAAGAAAATCTACGTGACATTGCATTTGGTATTGAGTTTTAACACACATCATCAAATGCCAATTCATGAAAATATTGATAACAGACTTTATAAAGCTAAATATTCTGTGAAAAACTGTATTCATAGAACAAAAAGACAAGACAGACATGAGAAGATATTTACAAAATACATAAGTGATTTTAAAACTGGGCAAATATCTCGACAGATACCCAGCCAAAGCAAATATACAGCTAACAGGCTCATGGTGGCTCATGCCTGTCATTCCAGAATTTTGGGAGGCTGAGACGGTTAAATCATCTGAGGTCAGGAGTTCCAGGTCAGCCTGGCCAACATGGCGAAACCCCATCTCTACTAAAAGTACAAAAAAATAGCCAAGTGTCGTGGTGGGTGCCTGTAATCCCAACTACTTGGAAGGCTGAAGCAGGAGAATCACTTAAACATGGGAGATGGAGGTTGCACTGAGCCAAGATTGTGCCATTGCACTCCAACCTGGGTGACAGAGCAAGACTCCATCTCAAAACAAAAAGATGTTAATAACATATCTGTTACATGTTGATATGTTAATATGAGCGGAAACTAGGTTGGGTCTTGATAGGAAATCTGCATTTTCTTCTCATTTTAGATTTCATTATGAATCTAAAACTAATTTAAAATAAACCCTTTACTAAAAAGTTGTATTTTTTTTCAAATATCTGCTTAATTATTTGTACTAATAATTAGCAGTAATTGACACTACTCATTTTTAAAATAAAAGCATTCACGATGCTGTGAAATAAATTATACAAACATATAATTTCAAGGAAATGCCTCTTTTACAGGTTTTATGTTAAAATAACAAATATATGTAAACATATTTATCATATATCTTTTCTTGTGGCGTGGTTCACTCTTTAGGAGACTATTTCAATTTACAGCTGGACACTTTCAAAAGTATAACTTGGTAAAAAAAAAAAATTGAAATAGCAACTGGATTCACTGGGACTGGATCACTTATTGTAATGAATGCTTGTCTTTGTTTCCTAGTAGAGGATTCCTTCTAATTACAATATAACAGAAGCAAATATTTGTCACTTGAAAAAATATTCACAGACAAGAAGACTGTAAACAGATTTTGTGACCACATTCAATGTTTCATCATGATGCTTTTTAATACAGAGGTGTTTAAAGGGATAGTCAGAGTTACTCCCCCAATGACGCTTTGCAGAAATTGATGAAACTAGAGAAACAACACTGGCAGGACATTCGATGTGACTTTAAGTGTCACTGTGTCTTGCTGGAAAAAATAATTTACCTTTTAGAGGATCACAAAGACTGCAAGCCCAGACTCTGGAGTGTTTCTAAATTTAGGTATCAGTATAGCTAGTAATGAAGATAATAAAAAGGGATCTGTGCTTTAGTTGTGTAATAAAATACCAAAGCAGTATTTAATGCTCTGAGGAAAATAAGCTATGCCTGAAATACAGTTGACAATATCAGAATCAAAATACGCTTCCTGGCCAAGCACAGTGGCTCACGCGTGTAATCTCAGCACTTTGGGAGGCCGAGGAGAGAAGATCACCTGAGGTCGGGAGTTCGAGACCAGCCTGACCAACATGGAGAAACCCCATCTCTACTAAAAGTACAGAAATTGGCCCGGCATGGTGGTGCATGCATGTAATCCCAGCTACTCGAGAGACTGAAGCAGGAGAGTTGCTTGAACCCAGGAGGTGGAGGTTGTTGTTGGCCGAGATCGTGCCATTCCTCTGCACTATCGTTTATGTAAAAATGCAGATTCACTGAGTCAGACTACATTGTGTATTCAGTGGAAGGCTGATCAAGGATTCAAAAAAATGCAACCTTTTGTCTCTTATCTACTTCGGACCTGGAAGCACCCTCACTTCCTGCTTCCAGTCATCCCGCCTTACTGGATCAAATGATTACACATCTTACACATATTGATTGATGTCTCACGTCTCCCTAAAATGTATAAAAGCAAGCTCTTTCCTCACCACCTTGGGCACATGTCATCAGGACCTCCTAAGGATGTATCAAGGGTTAAACCTTGGCAAAGTAAGTTTTCTAAATTGACTGAGACCTGTCTCAGGTATTTTGGGATCACAATCAACAATCACCATGGTGTTAGAGTTGACTACAGCATTCAGTACAGAGACGTGACTAAATACAGGTTTGTGGCTTGGGAGGAATAGGCTATACCATATAACTTAACGCGTGGAGTGAGCTACACAATCTAGGTTTCATAAGGACACTCTATTGTATTCACACAAAGATGAAACCACTAAGGACAAATGTCTCGGAAAGTATGTACATTGTTAGGAGACGCCTGAGTATATTTTAAATGCTTAAAGCCTAGGAGGAAAAAAAAAGAAACTCAACTCCTGTTATGGTTTAATAACAAAGCTTAATAGAGTTAACATATTTCATCTAATGTAAGATGCCAATGATTGAAAGACATTATTTTATGCACATTGCAAATAGGTTGCCAATTAAGCCAACTTTCTGAATAACAACAAAAATGTAAATTTACTTCTATTAATGCCAGGAAAGCAAAATGAAAATGAATTATGGTTTTGACATGTTAAAGCAAATAAAGGGAGGCCGTTAGTCTAAGCTTTTCCCTGAGCAAATGGAAACCGACCTTGGAGGCATTTAAACCAACTTAAAAAAAATTAACAAACCAACCAGTCAATAACACAAAGCCCAGCCACCAGCGGGATGTATGACTAGGGACGCTGAGGGAACCAACCCAACAACAGGCAGTTGCCTAGCAGGAGCCAATGAGGAACCTCACTTAGCTGCCACCACTAAGAGCTTGCAGCCCCAAGCCCTGATTTCTGTTCTGGTGTTTCGTGCATAATTCATGAATTGTTCCTTTGCTCAAATAAACTGTTTAAATTTATTTTGCCTAAAATTCTTTTTAACAGACAAGGTACACTATTTACGCTTAAAATAATGTAAAAACTCACATCTATCTGTTCTTCAATATTTTTCAAGTACTTTGACACTAAGAAAAACGAGCCACTGGAACGCAAGAAAAGCAAGTAGTGGGATGCGTGTCTCCCTGGGGCTCCCCGTGCTGCTCTCAGGGTTTCTCCCTTCTTTTTCCCGGATCTACCCCAAACAAACCTAAATCGGTAAAAAAAAAAAAAAAAAAAAAATTAAAAAATGAAACAAGTCAGGTATGCTGTAATGAGTATCAAAGCCACTCAATGAGGCCACTTCTGTAAAATAAAACCGACAACACGGCCACCTCAGCACTCAGAGCCCTGAGAAAAAGCTTTTTCCTCACCTTTCCTCAGGCAGCCTTGGGGGTCCTGAAGCAACAGCTTCCCCAGTCGGTCCTGAGGAGGAGGAGGCTGGGTCCTCCCTGGCCACAGTGCCCAGGTGTCCCTGTAGGGACAGCTGCATCTCCTGGGTGGGTCCTAAGGAGAAGAAGACTAGGACCTCTCCAGGTTTCCCTTTAGGGACTGCAGTGCCTGCTGGGTAGGTCCTGAGAAGGAGGCTGGGTACTACCAGGGGTCCCTGTAAAGACACTGGGGTCTCCCAAGTGGGTCCTGAGGAGGAGGAGACTGGGTCCTCTCCAAGTGTCCCTGCAGGCACCTAAGGAAAAGGCTTGGCTCTGCCCCATGGAGGCCCAGGGCATCTGCACCAGAATGCACACGCCTCCAGAGGGTCCAGAAGGCAGCATTCGTGCCCCCATCAGCAGTCCCTGGAGGTGCAAGATGCTTAGGTGACCTGCGCCCCGCCCATCAATTTTTGAAGTCCACTGCTCTGACAATTCCATGCCACGAATTTTGAAAAAACAGCTAAAAGGGAACCCACCATCCCCAGCAGAGGGATGAAGATGAGAAGTAAAGTACATGACAAACTGACAAAAGTCAAATGACATCCTATGTATAAGCAGTTATGTATGAAAAAGTTGGAAAACTGGAGTGTGCCATTTTAAAAAGGCAATACCATTTACAATAGCACCCCTCAGAACTGAAGCTCTTTAAGTATAAATATTTAAAACAAAGGTATAAATATGCATTCATCAAACTTAGAAAAACAGTTGAAAGAAATCAAACAATATGTAAATAAATGCAAAGATGTTCCTTATTCAGGATTGTAGACTCAGTTTTTTTTTTTTTTTTTGTTTTGTTTTGTTTTGTTTTTGTTTTTGAGACGGAGTTTCGCTCTTGTTACCCAGGCTGGAGTGCAATGGCGCGATCTCGGCTCACCGCAACCTCCGCCTCCTGGGTTCAGGCAATTCTCCTGCTTCAGCCTCCTGAGTAGCTGGGATTACAGGCACGCGCCACCATGCCCAGCTAATGTTTTGTATTTTTAGTAGAGACGGGGTTTCACCATGTTGACCAGGATGGTCTCGATCTCTTGACCTCGTGATCCACCCGCCTCGGCCTCCCAAAGTGCTGGGATTACAGGCTTGAGCCACCGCGCCCGGCCCAGACTCAGTATTTTTAAGATGAAAATTCTTTCAACCTCCACATTGATTCAGCACAGTCCAAATTCTCAGAAAATTGTTTTTCATTTTTTTTGTTTGTTTGTTTGTTTTAGAGACAGGGTCTTGCCCTGTCACCCACACTGGATTGCAGTGCTGTAATAACAGCTCACCAGAGCTTGAAACTTCTGGGCTCAAGCAATCCTCCCACCTCAGCCTCTCAGTCTCTCAAACAGCTAGGACTCCAGGCACAGGCTACCACTCCCAGCTAACTTTTAAAAAATATTTTCAGATGTGAGAATCTTATTTTTCCCCAGGCTGGTTTTGAACTCCTGGTCCCAAGTGATCCTCCTACTTTGGCCTCCAAAAGCACTGAGATTACAGGCGAGAACCACCACTGCACCAAGCCTTGTTTTTAACCTAGAACAGGCAACATCGAAGACGTACGAACAAAGAACTCACACATCTGGATCCCAACGCATTGGAAAGCTAAAGCAGTAAAGAAAATGTGCTGCTGGTGAAGAAACAGACTAACACTGCGCCCGACCATCACCTCACTCTTTAATACCATCATTTGGCTTTGTTTCTAATCTTGCCAAAGAATATCACCAAAGTACCTGGCTATGAAATCATAACTTATTATATGGTTTTCACAATGTGATATCAAATGGAAGTGATTTTTTTCAGAGATCTCTTGACAATTATTGGAGTGATAAAATTGACATGGAGTATTATCATGTCCTTATTCCAAGTGTATTGTTCAGTTCTCATCTTTAGAGTGATATGTACCTGTCACTTTAAATGGGCATGTATGGGTTTATATAATCATGAAATTAAACCATTAAGGTTTGGGTGGCTTAAAGGCTAGCTAGAAAGAGAGAGAGCATAGGATTCATAGCCAGATAAATGAAAATGATAATAGTTCTTAACAGATAAATGAAAATGAACCCAAAACAGACCCAGGAAAATACAGTGAATTGATTTTGGCAAAGGGACGACAGACATTCAATGAAGAAAACGATGTCTGTTTCACCATTGGTGATAGAACAATGGGAACCATATAGGAAAAAATGAACAAACCATAACCCTATAACTTATACAAAAATGTATTCAAAATAATTCATAGACTTACATTTAAAATCCACATCTGTAAAAATTTTAGAAGAAAATGAACATGACCTTCTATTTGAAGATGAGTTTTTAGTTACAACAGCAAAAGTCAAATGATGAAAGAAAAAAATGGATAATGTCAACTTTATTAAAAATAAAGCAGGGCACAGTGGCTCACCCTGTAATCCCAGCACTGTGGGAGCCCCAGACAGTTGGATAACCTGAGTCGGGAGTTCAACACCTGCATGACCAACAGAGAAAAGCCTGTCACTACTAAAAATACACAATTACCTGGGCATGGTGGCGCATGTCTGTAATTCTAGTTACTTGGGAGGCTGAGGCAGGAGAATCGCTTGAACCCGGGAGGCAGAGGTTGCCCTGAGCCAAGATGGCGCCATTGCACTTCACCTAGAAAACAATAAGAAAACTCCATCTCAAAAAATAAATGAAAAAATAAAAGTAAAATATGTACTCTGACAACCTCCAGTATGCTGAGACCAGGCCAGGGTGGGGCAGAGGAACTGCAGAATTTCCTTCCTAACCCCAACCACAATCCCAACCTAGCCCTACCCTACTCCTAACCCTAACCCTAACCATAATCCTAGCCCTAACCCTAACACTAACCCTAATACCTAAACATAAGCCCTAACCTTATCCCTTAACCCTAACTCTAAAACCATAACCCTAACCCCTACAGGAGTTTTCCTCAACACAAACTTAGTTGGAGACATTTGGCCTCCTATTGCTGGTTCATCTTATCATTACGCTAGCTGTCAGAAACGTTTATCAGACGTGAAATCCACTCAATCCACCATTCTAGCATATAACGTAACGTATACATACTATAATGTTCATTTCAAATAAATCAGAAAGATAATATCAAGTCCCTATGCTTTTCCTGGCTATATCCAAAGGATTCTCAATGTATTCTACTCCTGTGTTGCATTTTCTATTCATCTTTGCTTTCTGCTGGACTTCTAACTGCAAAAAGCAAGTCAAAAGTCCCCATAAAGAAATTCAACTAGATGACAGAAACAAATAGTGTGCCTGGGTTCACAGAGGACAGAGAGTGACTCTAGGTTTTATTTTGGAGGGAGAGTGTGATTTAAAGTTCTAGTATTCTGGTATGTGTATAGTTATCTATTCTCAGTGCCAATGGTGAGATAATGTCCACATGACAATTATTTAGATCAGAGAGTGGTTCAGAAATGATGATCATTAAAATAAACACTACTTACATAGGGCTGAATTTTTTCCTGAAATAGGCACTAGAGTTCTTTACTGAAGTGGTTTTTCCAATGGAGTACCTAGAAACTATTTTTCTGTAACAGAGGATGAACACATAAATTGAAGAAATTATAAGTCAATGTACTGTCACTTCTTGTCAATTCTCAGCTTTCATCAAACCTAATTCCCAGCCATGGAAACAGAGACTCAAGCATATGGGTGGACAAAGTTGGTTTACAGCCATCTTATGAGCTCTACTTCTCCTAAAAAGATTTGCAATCCAGGCTGGATGCAGTGGCTCACGCCTGCAATCCCAGCAATTTGGGAGGCTGAGGTGGGCAGATTACCTGCAAGACCAGACTGGCCATCTCTTACTAAAAATAAAAAAAATGAGCTAGACATGGTGGTGCATACCTGTAATCCCAGCTACCCAGGAGGCAGAGGCAGAAGAACCACTTTACATTCCGTGACGTGGTCCCACCCAAGAGGAATCATTTAACACTTCAGTTGATCTGGACGCTCCCCAAGCCACACATTGCATATAAGTCCACATGTGCAAGAGTTAACCCAAGTGGTTACACAGGCAGATTTCTATCACTGGACTCCAACATAAAGAGAGGGTGGTGAGGTAAAAATAAACGGGGAGCCCATATGTGAAGACCACTTGACTCCGAGTGATGCGGCGTTCCGGCTCATTATCGTCTAGTTTGTAGCAGGTCTAAAAGTAATGAGTTGAGCTCAGAGAGGGTCAATTCCGCCCTGGAGAAATGGAGGAGCAGGGCACAGGGTGTGCCCTGCCTCTATATGAACTCCAGGGCAGTTTATGTTCCACTGGCTAAGAGAAAGTTTTCTTCAAAAATTTCACATGATTACAGGGCAAACATTAATATCAAGTAAACTCAAAACATTGAGAAACTAGCATTACTTCTGGGAAAACCAGAGTGTGCATTTTTTTGGAAATAATCATTGGCAGCACAAACCTCGGAGTATCCAACGTAAATAAAAATGAGTTTTTAACCTACATATTTCACATTTAAATTAAGATATAAATGATGCTAATGAAATCCAGAAATCCAATTTTACTGTTTTCAATGTTCATTTTTTAAAAAATAGACATCTTTATCAACGATCCCAGTACAGCTAGTGCTCGACTTACGACCACGATTGGGTCCGACAGACCGGTCGTAACATGTTGAGCAGGCGATATGCACGTGGAGATGGTAGTGCTGCTGGAAGCTGGTCCGCACTGTCGTACGCCCAGCTGGGCAACGTTTGCGCTGCTAGATGTGGAGCAGTCGTGGCTAGCGATTGTGGTCGTAAAGTCGAATGGTCGCAAGTTGCATAGGTCGTAAGTCGATCAATACCTGTAATAGTCACCAATTAAGTCTTTACTATTTAAAAGCAAAATCACCTATCTCCTTAACAGTATCCACTTTACAAGTCCCATTATGTGTACTGGAAACAAGATTCAGAAATAAATATATATATATGTACATAATACAGTATATGAAGTTATCTTTCAAATGAAAAAACTTTCAGATAGTGATATTACATTTCCAAATTAATAACATAAGCAAATTATGGGATGCCATCCACGCCTGTTCCAAAGGTACCGAACTTATAAACCATCTCAGGTGCGGAGCTGGATAGGTTCAAAGTTGGAACGAAAGCCGGCGGAGCAGCCCACCGGCGAGGTGTCCAGGGCAGGGCCCCGCCCGGTCCCGACCCCTTCCGCCCTGGGCTCGACCCCGGCTGCGCCTCCGCCTCTGGGCTAACGCGGAGCCCGAGCGCGCCTCACACCGTCGCGCCCCAAAGGCGGAGTGCGGGCTCGCGAGGGTCCCCAGCCTACTCCGGCTCCTGCCGGCACCTACGGACTCGTGTCCACGCCGCCCGCCGACACTGGAGCAGCGCCGCCCCGGCCCAACAGCCTCACGAGCCTCTTACCTAACAGGATGTCGGCCGGAAGCAGCGCGGCCCCAGGGTGCACGGAAAGCCGCCAAACGAAACCGAACGCAAACACGCGCTGTCGGCCAGGCTGGGAGACAGGACGGGCGGACAACGCGCCGCGAGGCGGAAGCTCAGGATGCGCCCCGCCCCTGCCCGAGACCCCGCCCCTGCCCGAGACCCCGCCCCTGCCCGAGACCCCGCCCCCGCCCGGCCCCGCCTCCTTGTTTCCGCGCCACTGCACGTACGGGCCCCGCCCCTCGCGCGAGGTGTGTTTTGTTGACCCGGAAAGGGATTCTCCGAAGCCCAGGTCCGCTCGGGTGAGTGCGCTGCGGTATTTGTGGCCAAACCATGCCATGCAGGCCCCTTCCCGCGCCGTCCTCCGCTCTCGGGGTCCGCGGGTATCCGCGGACGTCACAAGCTCGGCAACCGCCCCCCCGTCGGCGGGGAGCCCCGCGGCGCCCTGAAATGCTCCGAAGCCTGTCGCTCAGCTGCGAGATCTGCGTCCTTGTCTGGCTCCGTCACTGAGGTCGTCCCCGTCCGGCCCTTCCACCCTAGTTCTCTTCACCGTCAGCGCATCCTGTCCGCGCGGCGTCAGGTCCCATTCGGCACGTGGCTTGTCTCCCGTCGTCCCCAGACTCGCCCCTCTCGGCCCCTCAGGGCAGGCCTGGGATTCGGCAGACGCCGGTCCTCCCTGAGGTAACTCCCCCTCCTCCCCTCGGCCAGGCCCTCCGTCTCCGCAGACCCCTGGCTTTGGGGTCACCGCCTCAGACAGGACCCTCAGTCCGGGGCTGGGCGAGGGGACCTGCCCAACCCTGTAACACCCCGTGTCCTGCACAGTCACCTCCCACTGGCAGTGACTGTCGGGTGTTTACCTTTCCGATGTCCCACTTAGAAGTGGGCTGTTCCTTGGCATGGGCTTCTTTGCATCGCTGAGGGTGTCGAGATGGGCAGGGGAGTGAGGAGAAAACAGCAGAGAGAGGTAGGGCCGGCGAGGAAGAAAGGGGGAAGGAAATTTAGAAGATGGGAAGTGGATGGGTCTGAAAAATTTAGACAAACTGAGAATGAAGGAGAGTGACCTGAGCAAGAAGTAGCGAGGTGAATGGAAATAGTCAAGACGGGAATCAGCAGAGATGTGAAGGAGGGCAGGAAACAATGAGAAGGCCTTGACCATCACTAGCAGAGGGGGCAGCAGAAGCCTAATTCCCAAATTCCTTAGATGGTTTTCTGATTTCCAAATTACTTTCCCTTTTAAATTTATTGTCAGGTTAAGATTAAGAGACCTCAATACTTTTCAGTCTTAATTATATATTGAAAATACTTTTTGTTGTTTAATAAATACTTTTACACTAATTCAGTGTGCACTTCGTAAGGATATTGATGATTTGAGTTAGTTTAATATTCAACAGCTTCCTCCCTTCCTTTGTATGATCTTTGTATTTAATGGCTGTGGGATAAAGTTCCCAACTAAGTATAAGTATCAAGTTTTCTTTGTGCCATTTTCTGCAAATATTGCAGGTTGGGCTAGATTGTCCTAGAACTTTGTTCCAACAGATTCCATCTGTTCATAATGAATACATTGCTCAAAGGTATTTCCAAAGCTGAACTTTTTATATTTTTCTGTTCCAACAATTAGATATTTTCAATTTTTATGTTTTTGGATGACTTAATGTGATGTTCTGGAAAAGACAAATACTTTTAATCAATATGATTAAAACCATGAAAGACAAATTGCTCTTACTTAAGTGTGTGAAATATGATCTGAAATCATTAGGGGAGCAGGGATGATAAGGGAAAACTCCCACTATCGCATCCAAATTATGTCATTCCTGTTTACTCTGATGCTGTTTACTCTCTCCTGACTTCTGTTCACCTTTCCACTTGCCCCACGACAAGACTTTAAAGTAAGCACAGAACATAGCTATCTTTCTAATGAGGAGGAGGTGTTGGTTCTGGGAAGGAAGCTTGAAGGAGAAAGGGCAGTGGGATTTGGGTATTTAAGATCCAGAAATGAGAGAAAGCCTGGGAAGCTCAGGAACCAGAGAAAGAAAAAGCCTTGCCTGTTCTCACCCATGACCCTGTGCTCAGCAGGTACTAGCAAAGACTTCAGGCTCTATGACTAAAAGGGGTGGAACCAGTTTGTGTACCCACAGCTGCCATGTAAGGGTGTTTGTGGACTTCACTAGGGAAGAAGGGTGTTATGAAGGAAGGGTCAGAAGAACTCACCTGTTGGTCTCCGTGTAGAAGTTTATTGTCCTGAATTCCTGGAGGTTCAGTGAAAAGCAGAAAATTGTCTTTTTAACATGTTGAGTTCTGCCCCCATATATGTGATTGTGGGAAAAGACAAGGGTATGTTGCTTGGAAGTCCTGAAATGCATGTTCCTAATACTCACCAGTGACTTCTCAAGACGGATCTTACCTAAGAAAGAAGCTCGGAGAAGAAAAGTGGAAAACGATTAGAAATGGCACTTTCACTGGAAAAAGTCATGTTATTCATTGATTGTTCTGTCATCTTCCTCCTTAAATGCTGTTTTTAGGATGTGCTAATCTCTGACCCTGCCTAACACATTTCCTAACTCACCCACAGCCTTCCCTTAATCCCCTCCAATCTTCACACTATCACACTGTAACCCAGTGAATTCGAACTTGTGAAGTTACATTTGGGGGATCATATGGGAAGGGCTTCACACCCAGACATAGATTACAGATGGGAAGTAGGCCCATGGTGTCAGTGAGGCCAGTATGGATCGTTTAGGGATGATGCACTATCAGATGTTTGTGAACTATGATTAGAGAAACTGTGCATATTAGTAGTGAATTAATATCAGGAATATCTGACAAATCCTGGAAAAGAAGATTGATAAGAGGAAACTTGTTCTGCCTGATTGTATAATGCATTGGAAGCCTAAAACAATGAATCAGTCTGGATCTGGCCTCAAAATATTGATAATTTGGATTATAAGGGAGAGTTTAGAAAATGATAGCTATGACAAATTCAGGTGACATTTCATCCACACGATGGAGTGTGTTTTATTCAGTAATTGTTTCTTAAAAATGGAATCAACCTAAGTGTCTAACAGTAGGGAGTTTTGGGAATTGTTAACAGCACATCTGTTCCAAGGAGACCTTGATGTTCACAGATTTGTAAAGAATGCTTTCTAGCACACTGACTTCTCTGCAAATGTCTGAGGGTTCCTCCACCTTGGGTAAGTTGGTGGTTTGATCGCAGGGCATATAAATGGTGCATTTTGTATTGTAATATATTCTAGCAAGATGCAGCCCACAAACTGTATAAATATTCTTACCTACCACTAGCACATAAAGTTCATCTACTACTTTAACCAGAGCTTGATACTTTACGTATGCTTTTGTGGATTTGGATAAAACAACAACTCATTTTATTTCCAATTCACAAAGTAATTGTGAGGCTGAATAAATTTTATGGTAGACATATATGTAAAATGGATTTTTTACGTGACTCATTTTTGATGTATAGTAGAGGCTATTTTCCATTCTATGTTCTCTCTCTCTCTCTCTCTCTCTCTCTCTCTCACTCACTCTCACTTTGGTGTCTTATAATGTTTCTGCAGTAAAACCAGATCCTTCCTTTATGCCCTTTGATTTTATATTTTCCTCAGTAAGACATAAGCTATTTTATATGATAAAATATTATGTTTTATTCAGTCTGCTTATGATATTGTTTAATATTGTATAAATATTTGTATGACTTATTTTAAATTTCCAAATAACATAGGTTTACTTTTTTTTTCTTTTCACAATTATTATGACAGTATCCTCAACAAAAATCAAAATTTAGACAAAATGACTTTTAGACTAATTGTAATTTTTTTCATGTGGAAGACCACATGTGACTTTTAAGTCTAGGTTGCCCTGAGTCTGCATTCACTGGGGTTTTATGTCACTGTGTCCTCCAATCTAATAAGATTTTGGGCTTCATTCATGTCATTTTTATGTCCTCAGTAAATTTTAAAATTTCTTTACGTGGGTCTACAAATTTATTTCAAATGGTACTCATAACATTTTGCTGTTGTAAATAGATAATGATTTTGTATGTTTGCTTCATTTAAGGATTAATGTTACTAAACAGGAAATACTGATTTCAATATATTCAGAATAGAAGTGCCCACTTATTAAATGTTCTTATTAGTGTTGATAATTAAAGCGCAGTCTACTTTTTCCAAGTTTACAGTCACATTATCTGAGAATAACTACAGTTTCAGCTCTTTGAGTCCATTTTTATAGTCCCTCTCCTTTCCCTCTTGTTTTGGTCCCACCTCAGGCATCCTGTGCAGTGGGAAATGGCATCAGCACCAGCCAGCCTCCTTTTACCAGCCTTACCTTTAGTGGAAATGGTTCTTTTGTTAACTGCCGAATATATTCGTTGAAATCTTCTTGATTAAGAAGAATTATTGCCCCCAATTTGATATGATTTTTAAAGATTTTAAATTATTTTTAAAGATTTAGATTACTTAAAAATGTTTTTTCAAGGATCTATTGATGTGATTTTTTTTTTAATTTTTAAAATTTCTATATGGAAATATTAGGTTTTCTAGTATGGAATCATCTTTTATTATTGCAATAAACTTCGCTTCACAATGCTCTGTCATTATTTAACCAAACCAGTAATGGCCAGGTGACCAAAATAAATAGCTAAATGGCTAAAATTGTAATAATGATTTTTGCAAGTGTAATTAATGAAGATTGTTGGTTAAATTTCTAGTTATTTTTGCATTTATGTTCATTTTGAGTAGCATAATAAACTTAGGAGAACAGGCTTTTTACCTTCAAAAGAATTTACAATACAAAGGAACTATAAGTGATTTGACATGTGAGAACTCTCGCAAATCACTTTTACAGTTAAACTCGGATATATACTTTAAATAATAAAATTGGCTGATCAGATTTTTCTGCTATTTATGACTGAAAGATTTTACTGTTTTCTTGAAAATTAATTTATTTTATATATTTATGTGAGAATATAATTCTTCCCATTTCTTACATTTTAAATTACTGCTTTTAAATAAATACAGTCTCTTTTTTTTTTGAGACAGAGTTTCGCTCTTGTTACCCAGGTTGGGGTGCAATGGCGCGATCTCGGCTCACTGCAACCTCCGCCTCCTGGGTTCAGGCAATTCTCCTGCCTCAGCCTCCTGAGTAGCTGGGACTACAGGCACGCGCCACCATGCCCAGCTAATTTTTTGTAGTTTTAGTAGACACGGGGTTTCACCATGTTGACCAGGATGGTCTTGATCTCTCAACCTCGTGATCCACCCGCCTCGGCCTCCCAAAGTGCTGGGATTACAGGCTTGAGCCACCGCGCCCGGCCAATACAGTCTCTTTTATTTACCAGTGTTTTTTTTCTTTCCCCCATGGGTCTTCTCAGTTTCATGATTTTGCTCTCAAAACTTTTCAAATATTGATTTCTGTCAAATCTGTTCATTCATTACATTCTTTTAGTATTTAATTCCTTGATCTTTTTAACATTTATTAATATCTACTGAATTTGTAACAATTTGGAAAGTCCAATAACTCCTGTTTTCTTTTTCTTTCTCTTGATTTACGAGTGTTTTTAAAGTTTTACATTTCTTGAAGATCACACCCATAGCCTTAATTTCATGGTTTTGCGTACTTTCATTTTTAATACTTATTAATATCATGAATGTAATTGAAATACTTCTTTGATTTTACTGGTGATAATATACCTACTACTGTACTGAGGCAGAAAAAAAAATCTTTAGAACTCAGATAAATGTACAATTTATATTTACTATTTACATATATGTGCTTTTGTTATTAAATTCCACTATCGTGTTTGTGGAATTAGCAATTTCCCTTTGAATTTAGATGTTCTACTTATGTATTACACTTTTGTGAATATCATATTTGGTGTTTAATTTTTGCTAGGATTATGGGCTGGACTCCAGATCCAAGATATACATGTAGCAGATCCACCAAAAACATACCTTAAGCCCCTAGCACTATTTTAATACCCAGAGCCTGGCTGAGCTTCTGTCATCTGTCCTTCTAGGCTCCTTGAGGTCTAGACATCTCATTTGACATAACTCAGCTGTGGCCCTTGGTGGATCTCAACCTTAGTACTACTCCCTGCTGGCAGGGGTGACCCAGGCCCACATAAGCCATTTCTGGGCTTCTTGGAGGACTTAGAGAATCCTGAGATTGCCCATGAGGATGGGTCATGCTTTGCACACCTTCCAGTCTAACATCCATGTTTCCTGATGCCTGTGGATATTTAGAAGCTCACAGGGGCCATGGATGTTCTTATACCTCCGTTTTCTGCAGTGTGACTCCTATACTCCTGAGCCAAAGTAGACAATTTTGAGGAGGCTTACGTGAAGATTTATGGTGGCCCCCATGGTTCTGTGAGACTGGTAAAAGGAACAGACCCCTTAGACTTATCTCCCAGGAGAATATGTAAGCTAGTGGAGGAAAGGACAGTAACAAAGTATGAATTTAGTATACCAGGCTATCAGAGCAAAGCTCTAAGGAAAAACAGAGGGATCTTATTGCAAGTGGCCCAGCTCTATTAGACTAGGAGATGTTATGCAACCTTGAAAAATCAAGGAGATGTGACCTTACTGAAGGAACAAAATTAATCTACAATAATTGACCATAAAGAAATGGAAGTATCTGGCTGGGTGTGATGGCTCATACTTGTAATCCCAGCACTTTGGGAGGCCAAGTTGGGTGGACCACTTGAGGCCAGAAGTTCAAGACCAGCCTGGCCAACATGGTGAAACCCCATCTCTACAAAAATACAAAAAAAAAAAAAAAAAATTAGCCAGGCTTGGTGGTGGGCACCTATAATCGCAGCTACTCAGGAGGCTGAGGCAGGAGAATTGCTTGAACCTAGGAGGTGGAGGTTGCAGTGAGCCGATATTGCACCATTGCAATACAGATTCTAGGGCTGAAGAATACAGTAACTGAACTCAATCAATACAGGGTCTCAAGAGCAGACTTTATCAAGCAAAAGAAAGAACCAGTGAACTCAAAGACAGATCATTTGAAATTATGCAATCGGAAGAGTCAAAAAATAAAAATAATGTTTTAAAAAGTGAAGAGCCTCTGTCTGACTTTGCTAAAAATTTGAGGTTCCTAAGAACTTCTGTTTGTGTGTGTATGTGTGTGTCTTTCTTTTTTTTTTCCGGAGACTTGCTCTTGCAGAGTCGTGCCCTGTCGCCCAGGCTGGAGTGCAGTGGTGCGATCTTGGCTCACTGCAACCTCCACCTCCCTGGTTCAAGCAATTCTTGTGCCACAGCCTCCCGATTAGCTGGGATTATAGGCGCCTGCCACCAGGCCCAGCTAATTTCTGTAGTTTTAGTACAGACAGGGGTTCACTATGTTGGCCAGGCTGGTTTTGAACTCCTCACCACAGGTGATCCTTCTGCCTCAGCCTCCCAAAGTGTTGGGATTACAGGCTTGAACCACCACACCCAGCAAGAACTCCTTCTTATGTTAGATTTGCTAGAGTTTAGCAGCTCACAGAACCCAGGGGAAAAGTTTACTTAGTATTGCTGGTTTATTGCAGAGGACATTTTAAAGATTACAATGAACAGCCAGCTGAAGAGTTATATACAGCAAGATTTGGAAGGGTCCTAGGTTTAGAAATTCTGTCTCCATGGAGTTGAGATGTGCCATTCTTTCCGCATGTGAATGTGTTCTTCACCTACCAGGAACCTTTTTGAATCCCATCATTCAGGGATTTTTATGAAGTGTTCATCTAGTATGTATAATTGTTATCAACTCAATCTCCAGCCGCTGTCCCTTTCACAGAGGATAGGGGGTGGGACTGTATGTTCCAGGCTTCTAGTCATGTCTTGGTCTTTCAGGTAATTGCCCCCCATGTTAGAGCCCAATAATTGTCTCATTAGAACAAAAGACACTCCTATAACCCATGAAATTCCAAGGCATTACAATCTCTGTGTTGGGAACCAAAGTCAAAGACCAACTAGAACAAAGACTTCTCCTAGCAACTCTATTCCTTAGGAAATTGCAAGGATTTTGAGGGGGCTCTATGCCAGAAACTGGGGATGAAAACCAAACTATGTATTTCTTATGAATAACAATGTCACATATATGTTCATGTGTTCATGTTGTTCGTGTCCTTTCATTCAACTTGAAGAACTGCCTTTAGCATTTCTTGTAAGGTATGTCACTTTGTAAAGTGTGTCTTTTAAGGTATCCACCATCATAAATGAGATTTAAAGCTGCTTGGTAGATAAATTCAGCATGAATTCATCTAAAGGTCAGACTTGAGGGAGTGGTATTTCTAGAAGCCTCACATGGAAGGGAGAATCGTTCAGAACAAGTGTATCCAGAGGACCAGTGGAAGGGAGAAGGAATGGAGGGAAGCTCCTGAGGGCTGAGATGCATGTGGGGAAAGCCTGCAAGCACACAAACCAAGAATAAGTAAATCAGAGAAATTCCAGTATTTATCTGTAGGTGGCAACCACAATCTACATGATTCAGGGATTCTTAGGATTTGGAATCAGAGGGAATTGAACATTTCAGAATTCCATGGGCTAGGTAGCATATGAAACTCAATGATTTTCATATGTCTAGCTCTAAAATCAAGGTGTTTTTATCTCTCTTAGCAAGAATAGTAATTCTCTTCCTTCTGACCCTGGAAGAGGAGAGACACCAACCCAACCCACCCCCCACCCACTGCATGTCCTTGTTGGTTGGACTGGGGCTCCTGGCTTTGGGACAGATGTTGTAAGCAAAACTGGAGTATCATGGTTTCTTCTTGCTCAGATTTGTCTTCTTAGTGCTTGGATGGTGTGAGTGAAAACCCAGAGGAATACAGTTGGTGGCTGAACTAGTATGATGCCATCACAGGTGAGTGGGAAATTCCTCTTTCTACTGAAATATGTACCCCTGTTACCAGCCTATGGACAGATTCATCTTATTAACATGAATGTTCTAAGTGTACTCAAGGAGCTCCAATTGAGAGTCCCCAGGGCTTTGGAATGGTTACATTGGCTCAAAGAGTCATCAAGAAATAATCTCCTTTGAACAATACAGTAAGGCATCTGGCCTCTACTAAGGCTATATATTCTTAAAAGAGACGTGAGAAGTTTTTGTTTCTCTCATCCAGTTTCAGGGAAATCATTCATTACCAGCCTCTCATGGCCTCATTGGGGAAATAAATTCACTCATACCCATGTTATTGGCAGGAGTGGGCTTGAGAATATAGTGAGGGTAGGTGGTGAAAATGAGAACAGAATGTGTTAGCTCATACAAGGCAGTTGTTTTCCAAGTGAGCTCAATTAATCTAGTATTTCAGCCGTGCTAGGGGAGGCCTGTTTAACTTAAAGTGAAAGCAGATAGGGTTCTCTGACAATGAGGAATTATGTATTTATTTTTCCTATCTAAAAATCTTAATGTTTTGATAGAATATATGTGTGCCTTTGAAAAACTTAAAAAAGAAAACTAAAATTCTTATTACCCTTGTCCCCATATTAACCTCAAATCAAATTTGATAACTGGAAGCAATGTATCAAATTTGATAAGTGGAAGCAGCTAGAGTGTTATTTCTTTAATTTTGTTTGTGCATTAAGTGATGGAATATAGGAAATAGTACATTTAAAACCCTGAGGAAATTTTTAAACTGGAGAGACCAGAACATCAAATGATATTTTTTACTCATAAATATAGAGACAACATGAAGAAACAAAAGAAAATGGTACTTAGTGCATTAGTCTGTGTTTACACTGCTATAGAGAACTACCTGAGATTGGATAATTTATGAAGAAAAGAGATTTACTTGACTGACGCTTCTGTAGGCTTAACAGGAAGCATGACTGGGAGGCCTCAAGAAACGTACAATCATGGTAAAAGGGGAAGCAAGCACCATCTTCATAAGGCAGTAGGAAAGAGAGACCAAATTGGGAAATGACACAAACTTTTAAACCTTCAGATCTACTGAGAACTCACTATCATGAGAACAGCAAGGGGGAAGTTCACCACCTTGATTAAGTCACCTCCCACCAGGCCCTCCGCTAACATGTGGGGATTACAATGCAAGATAAGATTTGGGTGGGAACACAGAGCCAAACCATATCACCTGGTGTTTGGAGGTCCCAGAGGAAACTGAGACAGGAAGTCCTCAGACCATGGAAAGTGTCAGGATGAGACCATCTTTCAGTACTCAAATTTTAGAGCCCCTCGCTTGTGCTGCTGAGCCATTCATCCTTATCCATGTTTTGAGACTGGCTCAAAACAAAAAAGAAGCTGCATCTGCTGATATCAAGTTCTGTATGAAAGTTGTTCAGTCAACTGAGTGTTCTCAGTCATTTCATGAATAATATATTTGTACCTTGTATCTAAAAATGTTTGATACATAGGAACCACCTTACATATGACCTTACTGGATCTTTTGCAACTCCTAACAGGTCTTTATTCTTGAGGACACTGAGTTCTCGTAGGGGAATATCTAACTATAGTCATGATTAAAATGTGACAAAGCAGGCCAGGTATGGTGGCTCACACCTCTAATCCCAGCACTTTGGGAGGCTGAGGTGGGCGGATCATGAGGTCAGGAGTTCGAGACCAGCCTGGCCAACCCTAAAACCCTAAAACCCCATCTCTACTAAAAATACAAAAATTAGCTGAGTGTGGTGGTAGGTGCCTATAATCCCAGCTACTCAGGAGGCTGAGGCAGGAGAATAGCTTGAACCTGGGAGGCAGAGGCTGCAGTGAGCCAAGATCATGCTACTGAACTCCAGCCCAGGTGACAAGAGCAAGACTCCATCTCAAAAAACAAAAATGACAAATTATGAATACTGCTTCCTTTGTGATGAGTCTATGGATTTTCATGAAGGTGGTGGAGAGGAGAATTTTAGTTCTAAATTTCTAAATGCAGATTTTATAATTAGTATCTGGAAGTTATACTTAGAAGTCTATTGGGAAATCTTCAGGTTATATGCCACACTTCATGTGATTTTTCTCTATGTGAAGTTTTCTGTCTGTGTATATCTGAAAGCCAGACTCCTAATTCACATTTAAAGCAATGGGACAGGGACAGGAACCCCAAACACTGTTTGAGTTTTCTGTTCATACCACCCACACTTCCTTAATACAGTCACTTTGATCATGCTCCACTGAACATTGGCAAAGATAGCACTGTTTGAAGTAGAATGTCCATAATGTTTTAGGATTCCATGACCTTTGAGGATATAGTTGTAGACTTCACTCGGGAAGAGTGGGCCCTGTTGGACACTTCCCAGAGAAAGCTGTTTCGAGATGTGATGTTGGAGAACATCAGTCATCTGGTCTCTATTGGTAAGTCTCCTTATGTTTATTGTGTATGTATATATGTATTCATTCACTCACCCATTTTTTACTGATTGATTTGTTCATTCTACATGTGTCCAGAACAGCTTTCTCATCTATCACTTCACCCTCTGCCTTGATCCTTTTATAACTCTCACAACTACCTGACAGCCATTTGCTTCCTTTTCACTTACATTGATTGACTTATATTGTCATCTCTCTAGAATGTCATCTTTCGACCACAATTTCACATCCTTCTTACTCTTCACTCTCCCAAACTCAGAAAATGGGAATACCCTGCTTTTGAATGCATAATTAAAATAATTACTCTATCATAGGGACTGTTCTGCACAGAACCTAGATTGTTCTGCTGCAGCTAGTGTTTACTGAATTTTTTTTGAGATGGAGTCTCACTCCGTCGCCAGGCTGGGGTGCAATGGCACAATCTTGGATCACTGCAACCTCCGCCTCCCGGGTTGAAGCAATTCTCCTGTCTCAGCCTCCCAAGTAACTGGGCCTACATGTACATGCTACCATGCCCAGCTAAGTTTTTTGTTTTTAGTAGAGATGGGGTTTTACCATGTTGGCCAGTTGGTCTCAATCTCTTGACCTTGTGATCTGCCCACCTTAGTCTCCCAGAGTGCTGGGATTACAGGCATGAGCCACCAGGCCCAATCAGATTATTTTTTAATATAATATCAAACACTGTGAAAACCGGTGATTTCTCACTGATTGAAAATACTCCAGATTCTGCAATACATCTTTCAAGTTAGGCATGGACATCAGCAATTACAGGTCTTTTATGTCTGGGAACAAGTTCAAGAGGTTTTCCCTTTGCTCATGAAGGACTGTCAATGTTGTCTTCAAGGTACTCTTCCCAGGCTGATCTCCAATGGCTATCTTACCCTTTCCAGTAGCCTGCCCTGTACTTGATAACCATGTACAGTTGTCAGCATAGAACTCAAAATCCATGTGTCTTTTTCCCAAAAACAGGCAATCAATTCTGCAAATCAGTTGTGTTTTCCCATTTGGAGCAAGTAGAGAAACTTTCAACACAAGGAATACGCTTACCGCAAGGTGAGCTATAAGAAACAGTGCCTCAATAGGAAGAGGAGGAATTTGGCCAGTGAGTGAGTAGGTCCCAACAGTTGCCAAAGGGAGATTTCTGGGGTTTTTTTGTGATGGAATCTCACTCTGTCACCCAGGCTGGAGTGCAGTGGTGCAGTCTCAGCTCACTGCAACCTCTCCCTCCCAGGTTCAAGTGATTCTCTTGCCTCAGCCACCTAAGTAGCTAGGACTACAGGTGTGTACCACCACACCCAGCTAATTTTTTTTCTATTTTTAGTAGAGGGGGTTTCAGCATGTTGGCCAAGCTGGTCTCAAACTCCTGATCTCAAGAAATCCACCCGCCTCAGCCTCCCAAAGTGCTGGGATTACAGGCATGAGCCACCTTGCCCAGCTGGAAGGTTTCTTAAATTTGCAGTGTTTTTGAAATGTAGGCAAAAGCTTAAGGGAAACATTTCTCAGATATTGTCATTATACTTCGTAGGTATCAATTTTTATCCAAGTATCTCTCTGTCATTGTCTTTGGCTTTTGTAAAGGGGATATTTGTGAACTTATTTGAGTTAAACTCTCACATAATGGCATTTTGAAATGGTCCTCTTCTTTCAAAATTTTTCTTCCTTCTTCAACTTGCCTTCTTAATTTTTTATATGCTAAAAATGTCAGTAGTCAATGTTCTATAATACTCTTCTCCTTAAAGTATTGTTAATTTGACATGCTTTCCTTGTCTTTATGTATTTGAGACACTCAAATGGACTTCACAACTATTTAACATTGTTATTCCCCTAATGCCTATATAGCATCTTTTTTTTTTTTCATTTATTTCAGGTAAAGAAGGTGACATTAAACATCAAGAAATACCATTCATTCAGCATATTGATCAGAAGGACACATCAACCATCAGCACAATGGTAAGCTTTATGCATGCAAACCCTGTTCCTCCAAATAGAAACCTGGAAATTGAACAAGTTTGGAATTTGGTACAGGTACCTGACTGTACTCAAAGCTGTCCCAGCAGAAAGTTTTAGTTTGGATTTAGTGAAGAAATTAACTTGAAATCAAAACCATAACATGAGGCCTTAGAACAGAACAGTTATATAAACAGGACTAGGCACTGAAATTTTCAAACATGATAAAGTCTTAACAAGTCAGATAGCTCTTCATTGGGATACTACAACAGAAAAACTCTACATGCAGTTACATAATACAGGAACAATTGTAACTGGAGTCTACTACTGAATGATTATTCTAGAATTAATATGTAGAGAAATGAAGTAATGAATGGATGAGTATGGATAAATACTTTAATAGCCTTTCATTTCCTTCCCCAAACCAGAGATCTCATACTCAAGATGATCCTTTTCTATGTAATGATTTAAGAGAAGATTTCACTCAACATATACCATTGACTCAAAATATGGTTACTTACATGAGTAAGAAACACTTTGTAAGCAAAATGTTTGGGAAAACCTTCAGTAACCAGTTATCCTTTGATCAACACAAGCAAATTTACACTAGGTATAAATCATATGTAAGTCATCTATTTGATTATGCCTTTATGCAAAGCTCTGACCTTAGACCACACAATGTGACTCAAACTAGAGAGATAACTTTGGAATGTCATGTGTGTGGGAAAACCTTCAGCAAAAATTCAAATCTTAGGCGACATGAGATGATTCACACTGGAGAGAAACCACACAGATGTGATCTGTGTGGGAAAGCCTTTACTCATTGCTCTGATCTTCGAAAACATGAGAGAACTCACACTGGAGAGAAACCATATGGATGTCATCTATGTGGGAAAGCATTCAGTAAAAGTTCTAACCTTAGACGACATGAGATAATTCACACTAGAGAGAAAGCACAGATATGCCATCTGTGTGGGAAAGCCTTCACTCATTGCTCTGACCTTAGAAAGCATGAGAAAACTCACTTAGGAGATAAACCATATGGGTGTCATCTATGTGGGAAGGCCTTCAGTAAATGTTCTTACCTTCGACAACATGAGAGAACTCACAATGGAGAGAAACCATATGAATGTCATCTATGTGGAAAGGCCTTCTCTCATTGTTCTCACCTTAGACAACATGAGCGAAGTCACAATGGAGAGAAACCACATGGATGTCATCTATGTGGGAAAGCCTTCACTGAATCATCTGTGCTTAAACGACATGAGAGAACTCACACTGGAGAGAAACCATTTGAGTGTCATATATGCAGGAAAGCCTTCACTGAATCTTCTGACCTTAGGCGACATGAGAGAACTCACTCTGGAGAAAAACCATATCAATGCCATCTCTGTGGAAAAGCCTTCAATCACTCTTCTGTCCTTAGACGACATGAGAAAACTCACACTGGAGAGAAACCATATGAATGCAATATATGTGGTAAAGCCTTCAATAGAAGTTATAACTTTAGACTTCATAAGAGAGTTCACACCGGAGAGAAACCATATGTTTGTCCTCTATGTGGAAAAGCCTTTAGTAAATTTTTTAACCTTAGACAGCATGAGAGAACTCACACTAAAAAGTAATGAATATTTAAGAGTCATCAGTCATAGCATTAACACTAAATACACGAGAGTACTAACATATTACAGGAACATTATGTTTGTAATCAGTGTGGAAAAGACTTTATTTATAAATTTCCACTTTGTTCTACCTAAATTCAAGGTAGAAAGAATCCATATGTATTTCATCTATATGGCACAAACTTCAGACTCTGGGCTGACCATATACAACATGAGAGAATGAAACTATAGATCAAAGGAATATGGAGGAATCTTCATCCACAGCTCTAACTGTTAGACAAAGAGGAGAAATCATGTCAGAGAAATTCTATGCCTGTCATCAATGTGAAAATGCCTTCATTATTAATTTACCCTTTAAACAAATGAGTAAAATCCACAGGAGAAAAACCATATGTCTGTAATTGCTATGCACTCTCATTCAGCTAAGCACCAATTTTGGTGTTTGCCAGAAAATTCATTATCAGGTAACTGATAAAACAGTAAATATATGGAAATATTTTTTATTAGGTGGATGAAGGTTCTTGAACAATTCCAGAAACTCGTAGTGGAGAAGTTATTCCATGAAAACTTGTGAGAAATCCTTTTCTTAATAGAGCAGCACTTGTATGATAGACCAGCATTCACATGCGGTAGAACTCACAATGTCATGAATGGAGGGTAGTTCTCCGTAAATTACTCATTCCTTAATCAAAAACAGCATTTTTCCACTGAGAAAACAATCTTGACATGATAGTGGGAAAATCTTCAGGCAGCTTTTATGTCAAAAAAAGTCATACAGGAAAGAAAACTCTAAAAAGCCATTTAAGAGATGTATAGCTGGGATACAAGAAATAAAACCATCAAGCATATGCTTGAGGAAAAAAAAGTATAATTTTGGACAAAGGCTTTCTACTGAAAATATGTAGGATGAAATGTACAATTCTGAAATAACCTGGGAATACTGAATGTGGAATTATGTAAGAAGTAATAAGACTAAATTAGTACTATCAAAAGTGCAAGCATTAAGTGTTGTTGCTAAATAATAGGTTGATTAAACTCTAGGTTTTTAATTCAGTTTTAAATGCATAGATTAGGGTCAATTAGAAAATAAGACCCTTCATGGTGGGTCACACCTGTAATCTCAGCACTTTGGGAGGCTGAAGTGGGTGGATCCTTGAGGTTGAGAGTTCAACACCAGCATGGCCAACATGGTGAAACCCCATCTCTACTAAAAATACAAAATCAGTTGGGCATGGTGGTGTATGATTGTAGAGTAGTTAGGAGGCTGAGGCAGGAGAATCACTTGAACCTGGGAGGTGGAGCTTGCAGTGAGCAAAGATCATGCCACTGCAAGCCACTTCAGCCTGGGTAACAGAGTGAGACTCTGGCTCAAAACAAAAAGACAGTGACATTCAATGGAATGAACACACATAGAACAAAAAATTATGTGTCTTAACTATATTAGTGGTATATACATACATGGTAATGATTAAAACAAACATGGATTATGAGGCCAGGCGTGGTGGCTCACGCCTGTAATCTCAGCACTTTGGGAGGCCAAGGTGGGCAGATCACGAGGCCAAGAGATCGAGACCATCCTGGCCAACATGGTGAAACCCCATCTCTACTAAAAATACAAAAAAAATTAGCTAGGCGTGGTGGCGCGCACCTGTAGTCCCAGCTACTCGGGGAGGCTGAGGCAGGAGAATTGCTTGAATCTGGGAGGCGGATGTTGCAGTGAGCTGGCGGTTGCAGTGAGCCAAGGTTGCGCCACTGCACTCCAGCCTGACACCTGGTGATGGAGTGAGACTGTCTCAAAAAAAACAAAAAACAAAAACAAAAAAAAACATAGATTATGAAAGACTCACTTTATAAGTATAGTCTTATGGTGCATAGATTCTCCTGTTTTGTTTTTAAACGACTTTATCCATGTAACTGACAAAAGCTGTTGTAATTTAATGTATACAACTTAATGTGTTTAGAGATAAGGATAAGCCCATGAAGCCATCATTATCATCTTTGCCACAAACATTCATCCTCTCCAAAAGTTTCCTCCCTCATTTATCATTGTTTTCTTTGTGATAAAACCACTTATATAACAACCTGTAGCAAATTTTTAAGTATATAATACAGTATTGATAACTATAGGCAATATAAAATTTAACATTGTAAAAATAAAACTAATTACAAATAAAATCTACTTAACTAAAAATTGGCAGTGCTGGATAATTGTGGTTAAGTTTGCATGAGTATCTCCCAGAATCAGGTTTGAGTCTCATAACATAGAGATTTTTGTTGCCATGGGCTTTTCTTTAACAATCTTTCTGTTTTGTGTGTAAATGTTTAATATTCTCACTTCTCCTAACAAGGGCTCTTTTATTTATGGAATCTTATCTTGTGTATTCCTCTCTGGCCTTTAAAACTTACACTTTAAATGAATCTGTTCTTTTGTTTTTCTATTTTTGTTTCATCTTTATTCACTCCATCCTACCAGGAAGCACAAGCCCCACTATTTTGCACAAAACAAAAATTTTAGCTTATTTTTCCTCATGCTAGATAGGCTGTCTTATTCTGGGACTTTATCTTCCCATGATGTTAATTTTCAAACCAGTGTGAATGTGAAACATCATTGACTCTCCCCTTTCTCATGAATTCTGCCGCAGAAAACCTTGTCTGAGCAGGCTGCCTTTATGCCTTAAAGCAGCTGTTTCATGTCTTTCATCTAAGTTTTTTTATTGTTAATGGTGGGTTGGTCCAATAAAAGCCACAGTCATGTGGGAACAAAAATGTTTTACTCAAATATTTTAAGCCAAATAATTGTTCATCTGTTTTTACGTGTGAAACATTTAAATCAGAATTTTCACAATAGTGACTATTTCTATAGAAATAAGTTCTCCAAAATTGACAGCTTCAAATCACATTAAATCCATTGGTATCACCTGCCTCATTTACCACATGCCACCATAAGGCCCTGCTCTTTTGGGTTGTAACAGAGGTCAGTACATTTCTCCCTGTGCCACATGTTTCTCCCTGCCAGTCCTGGGTTTCTCTGTTGATGCCAAGGTATCAGATACCCACAGTGAGAGCACACACATGCACAGCCAGATTTCCTATGATATCAGATTGAGGGGTGGGTCATGCAGAAATTTTTAGGCAAAGCATAGTAAGTTGGGTTGTCAGTCATTGCCATGGAAAGGGGAGGTAACCCCCAGGTGTTGCAATGGCAACAGTAAATAGATAGGGCACATTGATTGGGATGTCTGGAAAGCTGCTTTTGCTCTGGCTTTGTTTTAGCTAGTCCTCAGTCGGGTCCAGTATCTGAGCCCCACCTCTGGAGTCAAGTCCCACCTCCTATCTCATTCTTTCCTCAGAGAGTAGATACTCCTTCTTAATCTTAAGGGTACTGTAGAAGAGCAGAGGTCTATATTCTGTAACTGCTTCCTGCTGAGCCCTGCATAGCACTGGAGGAGTACAAATCCCTGGGTACCTCATCTAAGGGGCCCAGATGCAGGACACTTTTATTCTCTGGGTCAGTAGACAGGATGGGTTGGAATCCTTCTGCCAGCATTGTCTCTATCTGGAAGTGGTATAATCTAGAAGACACAATCTTTCTAAGAGGTTAAACAAGCAAGTGACAAAGAATAGTACCAAGATAGCTTTCAAAAGTAAAAACAGGTGAGACTTGGGAAGGTACTTTTGGTAGTTAACCGGATATACTTGGAGCCAGTACCCTGATTATATCTATGGAACCAGGTAACTTGCTCATAGATCTTTTGAATGCCAATCTCAACTTGTCCAGATTTGTTAATATATATGCAGCAGGTTTTACTAATAACTTCATAGACTCCTCCTTGTTCAGCTAGTAAATAATTCAACACTAGTCTCTTATGGAGAACTACATTTGCCAGTCAATCTAAGGACTTGAATTCTCTTTAATGCCTGATGTGTGTTGGTGGCTAAGGTTTCTAAGGGTTTGAGTCAACTTCCTTAGGGTTGACAGCAAAGCTGCCCCAGGGTGCTGCTAATCCTATGACTGCCCTCATTTCTGCCAGAATTAATTCTATTGCTTGCTTACTTCTGGTATTCTTGGATCTATGATGTTTATAGACAGTGACCCCTGGTGGGTCAAGGGTGCCCTATATATATTCACCTCTGTTCCAAGTTCTTGACAGACAAAGGAAGTCTACTCGTAAAAGAACAGGTGACTCTCCAAAGAGTTGGGGGTGGTGACAGTTGTGACTTATTCCCATTCATGGCCACAGACAGAAGCCCTACAGGGTGTGATGTTTATTCTTTGCTACCAGGTTGGGTCTATAGAGATATTTTCCCCGTGTTCCAATGGGGGTGGTCAGATAATCTTTGTTTCCTAGAAGTGGGCAGTACTTCCACCTTCCTGGACTGGACAGTTGTTTCTCCTGTGTATGTTCTGATCCAGAAGGCACCATGTATGTTGTCTTCTCACTTACAAGTGGAATCCCACTTAACTGCTGCCTTGGGAACTTGGCAACTAAAGTTCGATCAGAGCATCACAGGGAAGCTTCCACTTTTGTGTCATGAACACAGATGTGAGTGCAAAATATAGAATCATTCATGCAGTGGAGATATGGATATCTATCTTCCGAGGTCCAGGTAATAGTGCTAGAAGAGGGGTTCAGGTGGAATACATTAAGTGGGGGAGAATTGCACTTAACTAGTAGGGTTTGATTATTTCAGGGTTGCTATGGTAAGGAGGCCAGGGAAGGGATGGTCATAAGATTTTCCAGATAAGCCATAAGATAGAACTCTCTATCCCAGGGATGTTGATGACAAATCTAGCAACTGTGAAGATGATTCCTTGATGCTGTAATTTTTGAAATCTTTACTGTAGAGTTATATTCTTACCCACACTGGATCATGGTAATTGGAAGAGCAAACAGCATTAACAGTGACAACATGGTGTCCAGCTAGGAATTAGCACAGCCTCTATGCCCAACAATGACAAAACAGGTATTTCCCAGAACTTGGCTAAAGCAACAGAAAAGAAGTTCAATCAAGAAGAAGAGAAAAATGAAGCTCCTATTTCCACCTACAGCATCATGTTACCACCTTTGGCTGATTGTTGAATCTTTTAAATAAGTACCAGAGGTCTTCCAAAACCTTACATCTGTAGGCCATGATGTCCTCCTTTTGTGCCTGTGACTCATAAGAAACAGGTTTAATTCTGGACAGGTATGCCCAACTAGTTATTCCCTAAGTTTTCACAGTAGTGGGAGTACTCAACACCTGATAGTGGCCCTTCCATTTTGGTTGTAACTAATCTTCAGGGAATCTTGCTGTCCAAGTTTTCAGCAAGACTACATCTCCTGCTTGAATATGGGGGTGTGTTTCCATATGCTTGGAGGGCCTTTTGAACCTGGCTTAATTCTTCAGGCAATGGGGAAAGGGGCCAGGGCATGTTGGATAAGGGGGAGGGGTTCGTGGTGTCCTTGGAGTGGAATTCTGTGCTAGAGAACTAGTGGGTCCCCCTCAAAACCAAGGGGACTGGGGAAACTCTGAGGTGGGAGCACAGACCTGCAGCTTCTTGGTGCATGGGAGCATCATGAGCCAGACATTTTCTACAGCTAGCCCTTAGATTAGGATCCTGGTAGAGGGAAATAAAAGCCTGCACATAGAAAACTTTTTCCCATTTTATTTTCTTTTTACACAACAAATCTAATTGTACAATATCATTATAATGTAAACAACCATGTCTAGAATAAATATGTTGGTTTATCAATTTTTACTGAATCCAAACATTATTGCAACAGTAAACAAGGTTTTCATTTTCAGCCTAATAATTTGAACCTACTCCAATGGCCTAAAAGACACCAGAGTGGTGAGTCTTTTGGAATGCTTAGTGTTGTCCCCACATCTAGTAATGCTCACCACAAAGGGTTTTAG